AGCGAGAAATCACCCCCCAGGGGGGATGGTCACGCCGCAATCCCTTCTCCTCCATTCTCCTCTTTGGATCTTGGGCACGCACGCACACGCGCCTAGAGTAAGTTTTAAGTCACCGGGTCCGGGACGTGAACCGCGGTCGACTATGTGGGAGTCCAGCGACATAGCCATTATGCTAACTGCTGGTTTCCACTTTGGGGGATCTTGAATACTGAATCCTCCATACTGCTGGAAATCAGCAAAGCCCAGCTACAATAGGAGCTCAGTGAACCCAGACAAAACCCAGGTCATCTCCATCATAAAGTAGCTCGGTAAGTGGGGGGGGGCAGTTGGTAGCATAGTGGTTAAGGTGCTGGACTCCCACTTGGTTGACCACAGTTCAAGTCCTGGACCCAGGGGTTTGAAACAAATGCCCAGCGCATGGGCATGTGTGCTCAAAATCCTGACAGGATGGAGGAGAAGGGATTATGGCATGGCCATTCCCTCTGGGGGGTGATTTCTCACTTTCCCTCTCTCTGGTGAGCCCATGGGTTCTGTGGCAAAAACCTTAAAAATATATATATAGCTCAAGAAAGTGGGATGGAGGGACCAGCAGTTAGCGTAATGGCTATATCGCTGGACTCCCATGTAGTCGACCACGTTCGAATCCCGGACCCGGTGGCTTAAACTCACACCAGGCGCATGGGCATGTGTGCTCAAAATCCTGACAGGATGGAGGAGAAGGGATTATGGCATGGCCATTCCCTCTGGGGGGTGATTTCTCGCTTTCTGTCTCTCTGTCTCTCTCTGTCTTTCTGGCGAGCGCACACACCCAATAAGAAAAACCTCTCAAAAAAAAAAATAAAAAAGAAAGTGGAATGGAAAAGCTGGTGAGGGTGTAGAAAAGAAAGGTGGCGGCTGGGGAGAAGATTGCGTGGAAGCAAGAAAGGGAAACACATTGTGGTTATAGCACTTCTGAAAAGATCAACATAGCCTGCCTTTTGAGGAAGAAAAATGTGCTAGCTATTTGCCACTTCAAGGAAGGGTGGCCTCAGCTTTGTGATTGGAGGCTGTGGTGACCAGACTCTCTTTGGGCTCGGAAGACTCTTGTTTCTTGGGAATTTGACTGAATCAGCCAAATGTCATGGCAGCAGATCCAGAGTACCTTGGAAAGAAGTGGAGGCAGCATGATTCTCTAGGACCGGGAGCCTGAGGAGGGAGCCATCACCTGGGCAGTACTGGGTACTGAGTAAGTCTCTGCTCCCACCCAGGTCCTGCACTCGCAGCATGTGAGGCGACCTGAGCAGCCGTAACGCAGCCTGGCTTCTTCCCTGCACGTCCTGCTAATGCACCGGAGAGCTCTGTCTCCAATCCATCTGGAAAACTTTGGTCATAGCCTCTGTCTCTACATTGTGCCTGTATCCAGGTCTGTGCCCCTGCTACTGACAGCTCCTGGGAGAAGACTTTACATGCATGTGTGTGTGTGTGTGTGTGTGTGTGTGTGTGTGTTTCCCCTGCAATAGTGAGGGCACAGAGATGGCCTTGGATGAGATTAAGGGGAGAACAGGTCACCCCATTGGCTAAAACCTGCTCACCACTCAGGTATGAGCCTCACATGCCCCTGCATATGTAAGGGTTTGGGTGTCCTGCATGTCTGTGACTGGCTTTGTGGTGACTTCAAAGTTGAAGTTTGAAGACTGAAGTTGGATGTCTAGAAAATTGTGTTGCCTGGCTAACCCTCCACAAAGACAATGTGTACCTACACTGCCTGCCTCTGCTAAGCTAGCGTTCCCCCACATCCTGTGGTGTCAGACATTTGGTCCCTGAAGAAAAGTTGAAAAACCTCAAAAAATGAAATTCCCCCACCCACTCTTTCAGCAGCTGGTATTTATTTGCTATTTATTCCTGCCCGCCTCTTCCCCATTCTTTTTAAGAATAATTTTTTTGGAGAGGTTTTTAATTTTTAATTTATCATTATCATCATTTTTTAATTTGCTACAGGGCACACACACTCACCAGAGAGAGAGAGAGAGAGAGTGGGAAAGTGAGAAAGCAAGCTCCCAGATCTAGGTCTCGAACCACTGTTGCCCATGTGGGAGTCCAGTGCTTCAACCACCACACCATCTGCTGGTTCCTCTTTCCTATTTATTTATATGTTTTTTGTTAGAAAGACTTTTGCTATAGGGTGCATGCGCTCACTGGAGAGACAGAGAGAGACAGAGAGACGAAAAGCAAGAATCACCCCCAGGGAGAGTGCCACACTGTAATCCCTTCTCCATTCTCCGCTCCAGATTTTGGGCATGCACACACACATGCCCAGTATGAGGTGTTTTTTTTTGTTTTTAATTTACTTAATTTTATTTATTCATTTATTTTTAGTTTGACCACAGAGAGAGAGACAGAAAAAGAGGGAAAGTGAGAAAGCAAGCTTCCAGGTCTGGGACTTGAACCATGGTCAGCCATGTTGCAGTCCAGCAACTTATCTACTCCACCCCACCTGCTAGTCCCCAGTTCAGTGTGATTTTCTTTCTTCTTTTTAAAACTTTATTTATTTTAATTTGACCAGAGAGGGACAGAGTAAGAGCGAGAGCAAGAGCAAGAAAGAGAGAAAGGGAAAGTAAGAAAGCAAGCTGCCAGGTCCGGGACTCGAACCACGGTCAACCATATAGGAGTCCAGCACCCTTAAGTACTATGCCACCTGCCAGCCCCATCTTTTATTTTTTATTTTTTTAGAAGTTTTGGCCATAGGGTGCATGTACTCACCAGAGAGAGAGAGATTGAGAGGGAATTGAGAAATCATCCCCCCAGGGGGGATGGCCACACCACAATCTCTTCTCCATTTTCCTCCTGGGATCTTGGGCATGCATGCACACGTACCCAGTGTGATTTTCAAACTACCAGGTCCAGGATTCAAACCATAGTGGACCATGTGGGAGTCCGGGGACGTAACCACCACACCATCTGCTGGCCTTACCAGCTCAGTGTGATTTTCAACTGTCAAGGGCTGAGAGTCCAATCACATGGGTGGCCATGTGGGATTCAGCTCTCCTGTCCACCAGTCCACAGCAACACCCTTAGGTTTTTCATTTTGTTTTTTATCACTTCCATGAGAGACAGAGTTAGACTGGCATCTTCAATGGGATTTTCACACCATAATCCACACTCAGCCTCCATCAGCCTGGATCCCTGGCACGCAAGAACTTCCCCAGTGTGTACAGAGAGGCCTCAGAGTCTGAACCCAGCACCTTCCCATGTGAGTGCAGCATCATAGAGCATTGTGCTATTGCTGTGTCACCAGTTGGCCCTCATTTCCTTTTTTTTTTTTTTTAGAGGTTTTTTTTATAGGGCGCGTGCACTAGCCA